ACGTCGAATTTTTTTTTTTTTTTTTTTTTTTTTCCGGGGACTACGTTGAAATCTTGTGGCCGCAGTGGGACCACGTTGAATTTTTTTTTTTTTTTTTTTTTTTAGGGGGGGACTACGTTGAAATCTTGTGGCCACAGTGTGACCACGTTGAAAAATACGCGAAACATGAGCTAAACCCCCGCTACCGGTAGTGGGACATGGCCCCGGCCCTACCGTGCTCCCCCGAACACAACGCATCCTGATTATGAATGAACACATACTGGGGCCATCGTTTTTTCCGGAACAAAGGGCCTGGCTGCACTACTGTCGATATGTGAGAAAGGAGAGTGTTCCGCTAGAACATGGAAAGATACACGGCCATGATTTTTGTCTTTTGTGCATTTCAAGAGTAGTGCAGCGAGTCCCAAAACCGCATCCTGATTATGAATATATATATATACAGACTACTTTTACGTCCAGATACAGTCAAAATGAGTTCGCGTTGTGTTGGGGGAGGCCGGGTAGGTAATCTAGACTTATGTATTCCATTCATCAAGGGCCACCAGGTCTGGCTTCAGGTTAACGTAGTTCCTCTTCTCGTAGCATCGTAGGTTGGGCTCGAGCCCAGGAGCTTGGGCTCGAGCCCAGGAGCATGGTCCCACTTGCAACGGGGATTGGATTAAGATTTTGAATCTGGGCGTGTTTTACCCAGAGATGCAGAAAAGGAGTTCAATCTTGATTTTCTGCACTTGTCCACAAACGCGGCCAAATTAAGGCGCTCAATCCAATCCTCTTTGCTAGTGGGACCTCCTCGCCCCAGCGTTACTCGGCAGACCCCTTTGTTCGCCTGTCCCGCGCAGACCCGCTTGTTCATTTTTAAAAGGGGCGACCTCTTCTCTCTCTCTGCCTACGGTTTACCGGGCAGTTCTGTTTGTGACGATATATATATATATATCTGTTTGTGACGATATATATATACATATATATATCGTCAAATATATATCATCACATGAATATAAGAGCGCAAAAACGAAAAAAAAAAAAAAAAAAAAGAATGAATTTATCCTCTTCCTTGCAAGACTCCCCCTGTTCAGAAAGAACCTCTTTTGCATACAAGGCCGCCCACGTGGATGGAGGTTGAGCGGCGGCTGCCCCCACCCCCGTGTGTCATATCGACCCACTTGCACACAGCCAGAAGGCAAAGAGGCAAAGAAAAGAGTAAGGGAACCAGCCAAATAATACAGAACAGGGGGCAACAAAACAAATCCCAGATGGCACGCCCCAAACGACGGGACGAGACCAACCAGGATATCAAAACATTCTTGTCTGCAAAGAAAGCAAAAAGAAAGGCTCCGATCCCAGTGTGACAACCAAAAAGAAAGAGAAGACAATCCCGGATGACGATTCCCACATTCGACCACCGCCCCGCGCTCAAAAGGCCGAACAACGGGAAACAATCAACCAGCATGCCCAATAACATATATATATGCCCCTCGTTTGTTGTCCTCTTGTCCCTCTCTGCCTACGGTTTACCGGGCAGTTCTATTTGACGATATATATATATATATATATATAGTTCTATTTGACGATATATAATGTAATTTAAACTACGCTAAATTCTTCTGTGAAATCTTTCATCATCTTTCAAATTCTTTCAATTCCCCTTCACTAACTACCTACCACTGCTACTTTTTTTTTTTTTTTTAACTAGCCGGCCGCAGGTGACTCAGAAGGATGCTTCAAAAGAAAAAATAAAATAAAAAAATAAAGAGGGATGTTATTCTGTTCATCTGACATTTTCTGGAAGAAATGGAGTCTGTGGGCATCGCTACACCACTCTCGAAATGTGCAAAATGAGAATGAACTTCCCGCTAGAACATGGCCAAATGCCCCCCCTCACCCCCACACACACACATTTTCGTCTTTTTCACATTTCGAGAGTGATGTGGCGAGGCCCTTTATTTCAGCAATTGATGGGTGTACCAACTGAGCTAGGCCCAGTGGTTGGGGATGCCTTCATATGATAAGACCGGCCCTACGGTAGGTAATCCAGACTGTTTTTTTTTTTTAATGCCATTCAACAAGGTCCAGCAGGATTTGATCCTTTTTTTTTTTTTTTTGTTGACTTTCAGAAGTTTCAGGTCTGTATTTCAGCAGTTCATGAGCCGCTTTTAATGTCAAATCTGGAAACGAAGTTTGGGATCGGGATCAGCTCCGGACAGGTCATCTAGATAGGGAGGAGCGGGAGAGGGGAGAGAGAATACTATGAGGAGGAGGGAGCGATGAAAAGGGCCCCTTGCGTTACTTTGCCATCTGGTTGTCTTTGCCCTTCTTGCTGCGCCGCTGATTCAACAGGCTGCACGATCGCCAGCTGATCGATCGATCAATCAATCAAATCAAGTAATCAAGAATCAATCAATAAATCAACTAATCAATTAAAAGATCAATCAAATCAAGTAATCAATCAAGTAATTAATTAAGAACTTAAACAATCATTTAATTAATTAATCAATCATTGCTTTGTCTGTTTGTCAATCGATCAATCCATCTATCAATCAATCTATCAATCAGTCTATCAATCAATCTATCAATCAATCTATGAATCAATCGATTAATTAATCTATCAATCAATCGACCAATCAATCAATTCATCAATGAATAGATCGATTAATCAGGGAATCAATCAATGAAATCAAGTAATCAATGAATAGATCAAGTAATCAATGAAATCAAGTAATCAATCAATGAAATCAAGTAATCAATCAATGAAATCAAGTAATCAATCAATTAATTGATTAAGCAACTAAGCAATCAATCAATTAATTAATCAATCATTGTATTGTCTGTTTGTCCACTGATGATCCTTTGCAGAAGAATCGGCGACACGTGTTGCGAGGAAGCAGAAAACAACAAAAAGTGAGGAAGTCAGAAAACGACAAAAAAGAGAGATTTAGGCCATGTGCGAGGGATTACCCATGTCAGCAGGGGAAATCGAGGAGGATGGGAGGAAGCAGATAACGACAAAAAGTGAGGGCGGCGAAGAAGGACGAGGAGCAGAGGAGACCAACGGGGAGAATGATGGTGGTACGAGCAGTAATGGGAGTAGCCAAGTCGAGACCGGAAGCTCGTCGGGATCGCGAGCCACAGGTGTACGTGAAGATGTGGCCTCTAGGGAAAAAAACACAAGCCGTCAAGCTGAGGTAGGCCGAGGTCTTCCTTCCTTCTTTTTTCCTTTTTTTTCTTTCCTTTTTTTCCATTTTTCTTTTTTGTTTTTCAATTTTCTTATTTTCATTTTTAAATTCCAACCCCGCCCTCTTCCCACCTTTGGCCATCCGCTATCAGGCGGCCATGGTCATCCTAATCAGCCAATCCTTTATTTTTTTCATGTAATGTAATTAGACTACTAACCTTCCAATCTATTTAACAAAAAACAGTTAAAAAAAAGGAACCATTCCCGTCCACGTGTTTCAGATCCTGACGACTCAGATCTACCGTCTGAGAATTTCCTGAGGAGCAAACTGGGAAGTAGAAAAGCCCGACAGTAAATCCAGCTCCCGATTAATGCTCCATCACTTCTCCTGGTTTTCCTTCACGAAACACACACACACACACACACACACACACACACACACACACACACACACACACACACACACACACACAAGAAAGAGAGAGAGAGAGAGAGAGATTTATCTCGTGTTTCCTGCACGAAAGACGGACACACACAAACATAGGAAGAAATATGTATACATATATCACAGCCCCTCGTTTGTTGTCCTCTTCTCTCTCTCTGCCTACGGTTTACCGGGCAGTTCTGTTTGTGACGATATACGTATATATGTATATATATAAATATATATTCTTTTACTTTCCTTGTTTTGCTGTTTTCGCCTTCGCGCTCTGATTCACAGTGTGACAATACACACACACACACACACACACACACACACACACAGAGAGAGAGAGAGAGAGAGAGAGAGAGAGAGAGAGAGAGAGAGAGANAGAGAGAGAGAGAGAGAGAGAGAGAGAGAGAGAGAGAGAGAGAGAGAGAGAGAGAGAGAGAGAGAGAGAGAGTTATCATATTACGAAAAAGAGCCGGAAAAAAACGCAAGTCTTTTTATTCTTTATTCCAGAACCGGAAATCTCCAGGGAAAGACCTGATGGCGATTCGTAATCAACATTGGTGACGATCTTACCGTCCCCTCCCCCCACTTTCCACACTGCACCCTTCCCCACCCACCCCCTCCTCCTTCCCCTGGGGGCCGTCATAATCAACGGGCAGAAATGAAAAAAAAAAAAAAAAAAAAGATTGATCGAACTTCATTAAAGACTAAGTACATTTTATTTCACCACGATTTCCGAATGAGACAAACCTCGCACATGCATGAATTGAGTAACTCGGATGTAATGCGATCTACTCCCCATGAATAGACTAGAGCTGTGTTCCCCAAAAAAAAAGGAAAAAAAACGGAAAAAAAAAAAAAAAAAAACACGCATGTGCTCATGCATGGGTCACACAACGAAAGGAAAGAAAGGCCAACACTCGATTCTGCTTCTTCACCGCTGCATGGACGTGCCCCCCCCCCGGAAAAAGAAAAGAAAAGGTGTAAACAAAAAACACGTCACAGCTCAACACTCGATTCTGGTTCTTCACTGTTTGTCTTTTTTTTTTTCTTTTTTTTTTGAGAAAACTACGGCGCAGTCAGGGTTTGAGTTTGTAATTGCACTTGAGGCAAAAGGGCCGGTAATGCTGAATGCATATGACCTACGGTTCGGGTCCGGTGGGGTCGCGTGGGGGTGTGCTGTATTCGCGGGATTGCCTGAAGTGCAATTACAAACTGTTTTCGTGACTGCGCCGAAGTTACCCCTTTTTTTTTTCTGAAGGGCGACAGCCTTGAGAGATCATCGTCGAACTGACCGGCCCCAGGTAACTCAGGAATTTTCCTCATCGGGTTTCATCTGGGTTGGAACTCAGGTCTGCATTTCAACAGCTGTATGGTTGGTGTACCAACTGAGCTACACCCGTTGGTCTGTTCGTCTCTTCAGCCTCCGTCGGCGACACAGTCAGTCTGTCAAAGCCCCTCGCTTGCTGTCCTCTTCACCTTCTCAGCCTACGGTTCACCCGTCATTCTATTGCACAGGACAGATCGATATAAAATAAGGAAAGTAGATACCGTCGATAATGCCAAAAACTCGTAGGAGGCCCGCACACCGGCACACCGCGGGAATCTCGACGGGTTCGCCAAAACTTAGGGCGAGAAGAATGACTCCTCCTTGTGAGTGGTGCTGAGTGCGGGTGCTGCGGGTGCAGGTTCGCATGTGCCATGACCGCTGCGACCGGCAGGACTCCAGCACGGGAGGGATCGTAACTTGCTGTGGCTGGGCAAACGCCAGTCATTGCTGTGGTTGGGAAAACACCAGTGACATATACTGTTGCAGGGCCGAGTGTTGGACCAGGGAGGACCGGGGATGCAGTTCTCAAACCTGGGTGAGTGTCCTGTCCCAGGAATACCTGCCGTAGATCTTGTGTGTGGAGATTGTCTGCCAAAGATAGTCGCAGTACTGTAGAAAGGTACCGAAGCTGAAAATAGTCTTGCCGCTAATGTAGGGAATCAGTGGCTGAGAAGAAGTCCCATGCGTCCCAGTCTCAACAGAAANCCGAAGCTGAAAATAGTCTTGCCGCTAATGTAGGGAATCAGTGGCTGAGAAGAAGTCCCATGCGTCCCAGTCTCAACAGAAAGTCCCAAAGAAAGGCAACCGCCCATAACTGTCGGAAATGACCCTGGGCGACCAACCAAATAAACTGAAGTACAACAGTTGCATGACGAAACATATCGTCACAGCGCTCTGGCGGGCCTTGTACGTAAGGGGTGATGAACAGGCGGAGCTTTCCTTCCTGACTTCTTTCCTTTTTTTGTTTTGTCTTTGTCCGCCTTTGCGCTCGGATTCATAGTGTGACAATCTATATATTTGTCACAGCCCCTGGTTTGTTGTCCTCTTCTACCTCTCTGCCTATGGTTTACCGGGCAGCTCTGTTTGACGATATATATCTATATATAGTGTCTCGCTCCACCACTGTCCGCTATACAGAATTTCGGAGAGTTCGTGTATAGCTGTCAGAGTACCAAAAAACGGAGATTTCGTGTATCGCCGTCGCTCCACTTACTATCCCCTATACGGCTCTCCAATTCCTGAGTTCACTACAAAACACCCTAAGAGCACTACAAGACAGCAGTTTGTCGGCCCAGACTCCAGGCGGACTATCCGATTTCGTGTTCGAACGGGGGCCTCCTTCGACCACCCTTCGAGGAGTGTCCGAGTAACGACTTTTGCAGGCTGGGAACTATACACAAATGTAGAGTGCGATCCATGGCCGATTTCTGACAACTATACAACGGAGTTTTCACGTGCATAGTGTATAGTTAGTGGAGCGACGCCGAACTATACAGTTTTGTATACTGTATAGTAGTGGAGCGAGACCCATAGAGGTTCTGAACAGGGGGAGAGTTGTAAGAAAGAAGATAAAAAAACGAATTACTTTTTGCTTGTTCTCTTCTGTTGTTTTCTGGCCGGGCAGCTCAACCTACATCCACGTGGGCGGCCTTGTACGCAAGAGGTTCTGAACACGGGAGTTGTAAGGAAGAAGATAAAAAAAACGAGTTCACTTTTTCCTTGTTTTCTTTCTGTTTTTTTTTTTTCCGCTTCTGCGCTCTGATATTTTTGTGACAATATATATATATATATATATATATATATATATATATACTGGGCAGCTCTGTTTGACGATATATATATGATGAGTCGGTGAAACTCCGACGAAGCAGTTTGTCACAGCCCCTCGTTTGTTGTCCTCTTCTCTCTCTCTGCCTACGGTTTTACCGGGCAGTTCAACTGCCCGGTAAAACCGTAGGCAGAGAGAGAGAAGAGGACAACAAACGAGGGGCTGTGACAAACTGCTTCGTCGGAGTTTCACCGACTCATCATATATATATCCATACATATATATATATATACAGTGTAATCAGTGAGGGGATTCTACGGTTTACCGGGCAGTTCTATTTGACGATATATATACATATATATATATATATATATATATATATATATATATATATRTCTCGTCAAACAGAACTGCCCGGTAAACCGTCCACAGAGAGGGAGAAGAGGACAACAAATGAGGGGGGGCTGTGACAAACTGTTTCGTAGGAGTTTCACCAACTCATCAGGAGGATGAACCCTCAACAGTCTGCAGAATCCCCTAACTGATTACACTGTGAGTGATAATCCACCTTAACCTCGGTTGTGGTTAGGCATCAACGACTGGCTGACAACCGATACCCTGAGGTGGGGACACACCAATGCCCTCAAGGTACCTGTGACGAAAATCAAAGCAGACTACCACTCATGCACACCAGATGGAAAACTCTACAGACTGTCGGTTCACACCCATCACAAGCCAGCAAAACCACCCACGTGTCTGGAGTGTATTTATTGGCTGTGACAGACCTTTCTTTGTTTCGTGGATGTTTTGCTGGCTTGTGATGGGGTGTGAACCGACAGTCTGTAGAGTTTTCCATCTGGTGTGGGTGAGTGATAGTCTACTTTGATTTTGGTTAAGGTAGATTATCATTTA